ATATAACGCATAAACAAAAGAAAATTAGTCAAAATAGTTAGCAAATTCAAATCTTGAACTAATTGCTGAGATGCTAAAATGATGAAGATAATGTCCTAAACTTATGATAGAATGTTGTAACGTTGTATGGTGTTATAAATAAATTTCTGGAGTTCTGGAGCACGCTGTTTAGAATTACCTTACTTTTTGCATACTTTTCCATAATGATTTGTATTAGTAGTTTTATATTCATCGTTAATCAATGTTTTTAACTAAATTATTCAGTCACCATAAAAGGTTTATTTAATTTCTAAACTTACATTTCTACTTAGTTAGATGCTTTGTTGGCTTTCATAATTTGCATTTCATTTTTATCTGACCGCCTTCCAAAAAATACTACTCAATGTGTTCGGCTGTAATTATACTTTGAAAATATATTATTTTTGTATGATCCTGTTTCCGTCATCGATGTTTAAAGTATTTTTTTTGTATGAAAGGGTATTTTGTCTTTTCTTAAAATGAATGTGACATGTAAAGTACAGGCTGTCAATGTTATTAACCGACTTCAGAAAAAGGAGGATGTGCTACTTTCGGTTTTATGTATCTTTTTAGTTTCCATTTCTCAAAAGAAAGAGGAGTGCTTGATCATCTGTCTGTCTGTCTTTCTCTTAGGAACGCGTGGATGGATCAAGTTTAAATTTACATCAAATACTTTTATGTTCTAAATCAAAGCAATATTTTGATTGCTTTGATTTAGAACATAAAAGTATTTCACGGACATTTATAACTTATATATTAACCCTTGAACCCTTTAATTGAAAGGCCTAGCAGTAATAATAATAATAATAATAATATTCTACCACATTCACACAACGCCATCTAGTCCCAAACTAAGCAGAGCTTGTACTATGGGTACTAGACAACTGATATAAATATATATATACTTTTTTTTTGTAAATACATAGCAGTGGACCACTAAAGGCTGTTAATAAGGATGATATTAACCAATTTTAACACTTTCATTCATTTTATTTGTTATACTCTGAACGGATCTGAATTTTAATTTCCATTATGCAAAAATAACAAAACTTAATTTCAAATCTCTCTGTCAAACTGTCAAATGATAAGAAATTGACCACTTGAAAATTTTGTTTTGTTTGTTTTTTTTCACACACTTCTGCATATACATATAGAATTTGCACAAAACATTATAAATAAGAAACCTTCACTGTTGGACCTTCTGTTTGGCTCCTCGGATCATTGTCTAATTCGCAGTACAGTGCCACTCACGTGCATGTCGCGGCTGCGAATTTTAGGCTGCCGCCGTGTATGGCACTATAGGTCAGCGGACTGGGATGGTATGCATTCCTTCTTCGCGTCCTATGAGGAGGCAAGTCTGTTTCTTGCCGGATGATAGTACTTCAGAGCATGGAACTATTCGTTTCTTCTACATTCATTCAAATCGGTGTCAGATCCAAGCCCGGTTTCGACATATCCTGCAAAACGGTTTCGGGTGAAACGGTGAGAGACTGGTGAGACTTCCTTCTGGAACTCGTGCATTTTAGTCTCTTGTCAAGGCTGTCCAGGGGAATTTCTGTAGCCAATCAGCCTGTAGTCAAGGGAGATAATTCTTTAGCCTATGATGCCAAGAAGAAAGCCGATCTCCTAGGCAAACTTTTTGCATCCAACTTGACTTTAGATGACTGGGGAAACGTACCGCCGACTATACTGCGGTGCCAGAGCTATTTGCCGGATATCTGGTTCACACAAAAATCAGTGCATAAAGCACTCTTTTCCCTCGACATTCATAAGTCGTGTGGGCCCGATGGAATCTCTCCTATCGTGTTGAAGACGTGTGCTCCGGAGTTGGCACCGGTTTTAACGTGCCTTTTTCGATTCTCCTACTCCAAACGCGTCGTCCCAAACTCCGGGAAGCTAGCTCTGACCCGTCTATATAATATATATATACCCGTCAACTATAGGCCTATAGCCATAACCCCTTTGTTCTCTAAGATTATGGAATCCATAATCAACTGCCAGCTCCTCCGGTACTTAAATGATCACCAGCTACTCAATGACCGACAATTTGATTTCGCCGGGGTCGCTTAGCTGGTGATCTTTTCGTCTTTCTAACACACCGTTGGGCACAGGCGATCGAGACCAAAGGTGAGGCTTGTGCTGTTAATTTAGACATAGCGAAGGCCTTTGATGAGGTTTTGCAAAAGGCGCTTCTCTCGAAACTCCCTTCCTATGGGCTTCCCGAGCAATTGTGTAATTGGGTCACCAGCTTCCTTGCGGACAGAAGCATTAAGGTCGTTGTCGACGGTGCATGCACCGACTTGAAATTCCTAAATGCTGGTGTCCCGCAAGGCTGAGTGCTATCCACCCACACTGTTTCTTCTGCATATCAATGACATGTTGCAAACTAGTAGCATTCATTGCTATGCAGATGATGGGAGATGCCCTTTACACCGGCCGCCCCAATATTTCTCGTGAAAACGTCATCGAGAGTCGAAACAAACTTGTTTCAGAAATTAAAACTTTCTTAGCGGAGGTTTCAGATCGGGGCCGACTAAATCTAGTCCAGTTCAACCCAAAAAAGACACAGGTCTGTGCGTTCGCAAAAAAAGAAGATACTATTTCTCGTATCACCTCGGTTGGAGAGCACCTCTCTAACTGCCTCAGCCATTATCGGAATCTTAGGCATCGACATATCGAGCGAAGGCCAGTTTCGGGGTCACTTAGAGGGTAAGGTCAAATTGGCCTCGAAGAAGCTCGGGGTATTGAATAGATCGAGGCAGTATACCACTCCGGCCCACCGCCTTCAGATCTATAAGGCGCAAGTCCGGCCACATATGGAATTCTGTTCTCATCTCTATGCAGGGGCACCTCAGTACCAGCTTTTTCCTCTGGACCGCGTCCAACGAAGAGCGACTCGAATCGCTGATAGAAACATCTCCGATCGGCTCGATCCCTTGGCGTTACGTAGAGATGTGGCTTCACTCTGCATTCTTTATCACATTTATCATGGAGAGTGCTCCGAGGAGTTGTTCGGACTAATACTAACCACAGCTTTGGGCCATCGTTCCACATGGCAAAATTTTCAACCTCATCACCTGGATAGTTGGCGCTCCACTACTGTGCGCTTTTCGAGACACTTTTTGCCCCGCACAACCAACAAATGGGTTATCATCTGCGTTATTTCCGGACCGACAGGACCTTCAAACCTTCAAGAAAATAGCGTACTCCTTCCTAAAAGGCGCGGAACGCGTTTGTGACTAGTGAGTTGCAGACAATTATGGGCGGCAACGGTCACTTTCTATCAGGTGACTCGTCTGCTCGTCTGCCCCTCTAACATAAAAATAAAATGAAAAATAAGACCGACATGTGTATTCTCCCTCTGACTTGTGAAAATGAAAATGTAATACTGATAGGTAATATTAGTTTTATTGTAAGCCTGGAGCATTACTATCTCGAGAGTCGGCCCTTGTTTTAGAAGTTTATTTGCTTAATAGACTTCATTAATAATGCTGAAATAAACATTAACAAAGATCTCACACGAGAGGGAAAAGGAATTAGCGGCGGGAAGTTCCGCAATGAGAGCACCGACAATGTTTCAACGATTTCATCTTTATTTTGTATCACTTACAGTTATATATTTACAAGTGAGGCAGTAACAGTGTCAACGAACCAAACTTATGCGACTGTCAGGGTGACAGAGCGACGACTTGCGTTACGTTAACTTAACAAACAGATCGTACCTGCGGCTGGGGCACTCCCTTTATTGTATAATTATATTCATGTATTTGTTAAATTAACTAAAACAAATAAACGCGATGTCTAAAGTAAATGCTTTATTAAACACTGATAAATTAACACCATTATTATGGTAATAAAGTTTTTGGTTGTGACTGTGATCCGCCAACTTTATAATTTAATAATGATACTAAATGTAACGTTTTTATATGCAAATAAAGTTGACGAACAGAATGTCAAGTCACTTACAGCGGGGTGGCTGCGAGGAACGACAAGATCAATGTGCCAGCTTTTAGTCCGATGCAAGTACGACATTTTAGTGTTGCTAGGCTCGCACTGTATACGACCGTCAAGGAAGCTTAAGAATTGACGCGATGTCACAGTGATTTATATAGAAAAGTGGACTGATTTAAACTGAAAATGAAAAGAGGCAGGTACCTTTGAATAGATCATATATTGTAACCAAAAAAAATGAAATAGTACATTTTTTACATACTAAAGGAAAGGGAGTGCGCCAACTCACAACTGGCAACAGTAAGTAATATCATGGCAGATGATATCAGGTTCAGAACAATTCACATGCGGCGACACAATTCCATTGCATATTTGTACTGACGAGTACTGCGAGCTCGCGATAGAACTGCGACACTTTCAAAACGATTTCGATGTCGCTATTACGTAGTAGTCGAGCACAGACGCGCGTGTCGCGTTACGGCGCGTCGTCACACGAGGCGACGCCACGCGACGCGACATCCTGGCGATTTATATTACCGATGGTACTAAAATGTAATTAATTGTAATTGTTTATAATAATTATGTACAACTTTACAAATTTGAAAGACGAGCGAATGTCGGTAGCGTATGACGTCACGGTATCGTGCCTCGTCACCGGGCCCCGACCACTCCTCAGCCCTATGTACATAGATTTGTTTCCCGTAATATAAATTTTAGTAGGTAGGTACCGATACGAATAATTTCGTAAGTTAATTTATCTTCTCACATATCGTTCATATCACAACGCGTACGACAGACCCTTCCCATTATCTAAGTAATACATTTGAAATTTTTACAATATAATTAAATTAATCCACTATGCATCGGATGCGTAGTGTTTGTTGGACGTGAGGCGCCGCAGCGGCGCACGCACACACTCGTACACTCACACACACTCTCTCACTCGAGTACGATACACACACGGACGCACTAATGTTCAGGCGGCACACAGTGATAGTCACGTGTCCACGGCTCACTCACACCAAGCTCCGCTATTTGCCCTCGTCCTCGTCGTGACACATCAGCCTGAAACAATTTATGAAACGCTTTATACTAAAGTACTATTGTGGTAACTCCCAGAGGGCAACACCTCACCGATGCTCACGGTGAGGAGTATGTCGGAATCTAATCGACTGCGGCGACTATAACTGCAAGGGACTTGAGCATACCTTGGGAAGAAAAACTCCGACAAAAAATTTGATAATATTAATTTATATGATGACTAGACGGCCGGTTTGTCTCAAAGTGGCACCAATTTAAATAAATGAATGTTGTCCTCTAGTCGACTCGAACTAATGTCAAACTCAAACGCAAACTAACTTTATTTCATAAAAAAAATGAAACTTGTTTGAAATCGCCTTTTATGTAGACCCACACACACAAAAGCAACAATCGATGTCAGTGCGTTTGAGAGCTAAATAGATAATTATTCCAGTAGATAAGCATTATTATTGAACCGTTTTTTTAATAAATATAAACAATTGAGAAGCTGAAATTCTCGACAGTGTTACTGTGGCGATTTCTATATACGATGAAACAAAGAAATATACTATAGCGCCATTTATGGGCCGCCGCCCACCAGGTATGACCACCTCGCCTGGGCGGAGGATCCTCCTTTCGTGTTGGAGGGACATAACACCCGTTTCTCCACATTACTATTGTCTAATAAAAAATAGAGCTTCGCGTCCAGGAAACCAGCTATCTATTCCAAGCTAACTGACAAAGTGTACTTAACATTAGAGGCTTATAAAGAGAAAAACATAAAACTAATTTTCTTTGTAACTACATTATTTAAAGATAATACACCTATTATTTTCTTAACCTGTTAATCAATAAAACAATTTTATAGTAAATATGATCGAAGATAGTTTTTATAAGAATAACACATTTATATTATTGTAAAAAAGGTAATCCTTACGTGTAGCCAGGACGAACAGAACTAATCAAGGGAAATGTATTATTAGATATTTCAATTTTTGTGCAGCCGGGTAATCGTCTGATACGAGATTACAGTTTCATTGTTCGCCTAAGTATAACAAGTAATGAGTTGATTGTTTATTATTGTAATAAAGGAATTATATTTAATCGAAAGGCCTAATTTAATTATTTACGACTGCTTGTGACATAATAGTTCTGTACATGATTTGCAAGCATACTAACAAAAAAACGAGGGCGCACGCCACGATCGTCAGTAGTCTGAGCAAGGTGTCGCGTGCGGCGAGCGAGGACAACGCCAACAGCGGCGCGAGCGTGGGGGAGGCGCGCGTGACGCCGTTGCCGTGCTGCATCGCCGCGGGCTGCTCGCCTGCAATGTTCAATGTCAAAACAATTATATGCTGGGACATTACACAGTGCTGAACTGTGACTTCTACACTACGGAAAAACATACTCAGATATTTTGTCCTTTGAAAACATAATATCGCTATGCAAATAGATACGAGTATATAACGAGTATGTAAACAACTGCTTGCGGTGAGGGGAGATCGAACGTGCAACATCGGCCGTTGTAGTCGAACACAGTACCGCGACAACAATGTACCAAGTACGATGACATCATCATCATCACATCAACAGCCTTTACCAGTCCACTGCTGGACATAGGCCGGAAAGGAGATTTTGGCCTACTATACCTCGCTGGCCAGACGGGTTGGTATAGGGTTTGTGTCAAGTTTTTCTTCTTGTTGTTATGCGTAGTTTTTTCCCGTAGTCGGCTCTTACGACACCCACGGGATGAATAGGGGTGGTGACACTCTGTATTCTTTATCCATCACCATTCGATGACGATGACACCATTCGAAAAATATAAAACCACAGTTTGTAGTTGAGAATGAAACTAACCGCTGAGCACATGCAACATCACTGACGCCGAGTCCAAGTTGGATGGCGAACACGAGTAGTTGCCGGAGTCTTCACGCCGCGGACTGTAGATTATCAGATTGCCCACCTGCGAATCGTGTTATTAGAAGAATTATTGTCGATAGGTGTTCAGAAAACACAAAAGATGAGTGTGCAAGTCTTTGGGGTCGGTGAAGGTACGGACCGTGGTGTCGGGTGCAACGCGCTCCATTCGGATCTCGACAAGGCTCTTGTCGTAGTTGAGGACGCGCTCGTCGTTGTGGTACCAGAATATGTAGGCGGGCTCCTCGAGCGCCTGAGTGATCACGCACTTGAGGCTCACCGTCGTCCCGGCCTTCACGTACAACTCCGACTCGCCAACTATCTCGATCTTTGGCACTGCAAATATGTTATGTCCAAATGTCACTTCACCTTCACTCTTGTTGGTTCACGTAACATAAAAACATATGCAAATAAACTTAATAAAGAACCAAACTGAAGCCAAAGTTAGACGTTCATTTTATTTTTTTCGACATTCCACCAACATTATAACATCATTTTTTTTATAAAACAGAACTACAGTATATTTTAGAACTATACTACAATATGATATTAATTTTAATGTTTACGTTTAATATTCCATGTGCAAAAGTGAGAAAGAACAAGTTTACGAATGACGTAATTTGAGTGACTCACCGACGACATTGAGCTGCACGAAATGGCTCATTTTGGGCTCGGTGCCCACCTGGCACTCGTACAGGCCGGCGTCTCGAGCCTGCACGTACTTCACCTGCAAATAATGTATGTTTCTATAGTTTAAGTACACCGACACACAGAATAGAAAACAATTAATTGATGACATGCGTATGTGTATCACGACATACTGTAGTCAACACTAGGAAATATTAGTTTCTAACAAATGACAAGTACCTGTAGAGTCCAGGTGTCCGTGGCCTCGACAAGGAAAGCTTGGAAGCGCTCGTCAGCTATAAATGTAAATCTGTCCACTGTGAGGATGTGTGCATCGCGACGACGTATCCAAGACACTGACTTGTTACTTAGTTGTCGAACCTGTAAGTACCGCGCAGAGACTTATGTAAATGCAGCAATGTATTCTTATGCCAATAGAGTGGACAAATGACCATCGGCCATTACGCAAGGGGTCTAGACATAATACACAGCAGTCGTGACTCATGTAAAGTGAAACATTTTAGGGTATCATTCTTACTACTTAATACTTACTACCTAACCTACTTACTAGCTACGAGTAATACTACATAATTCTTACTACAATGTGTTTTTTTGGATAGTATATTTTTTGAAATATCAGCAAAAATATATAGTTTACAGTTTTGATACTAAGAATTTATACTTTTCTAGTATGGTCCATATAAATTAATTACATTCCCATAGGGGAATAGGATTCATGAAAGTCGAACAATTAATCCGAGGATCTTTGAACTGAACACTCGATGCCTCCCTAACTACCTATTTTAACAATACGCAAATTATCTTTTTAGTAATCTTATATCAGAATGTGCGATACGATAGTATAAAATTATATTTTTAGCAGATTTGACAAAGTCGGAGGAACAGGAAGATGAACAAAGTGGAAACATTGAAGAGCTCACCTTGCACGGCAGGTAAGCATGCGTGCCGAGTTGCGTGGTGATGTTGTTCGGAGCCGTGGGGTCAAAGTACGGGCCCGTGTACAGTCCCACGTAGCGCTTCGTCAGCCTCGGCCCACCACCGGCCTCGCCACACGACAGCACTGTAAGCGTAATGTTGTGCTTCAGTTAGGATACAACGTTGGCGATTTGTGCGGGTTAAAGTCTTAGGAGATATATTTATTATATTTCATCAGTATATGTGTATATAGGAACAAAATGCATATATACATTTCAATCATCAAATTGTGTAAATGTGGAAGAATATATTTTTATTATTATTATCGAACTTACATAACCAATCTTAGTTCATTAATACCTACACATTTGCGGTTTGTCTAGAGTCTCAACTGACGCAGTTAGAATAGCCGGCACAATATTTTATTCCATTAGAAACAAGCGTGTTCGGCAAAGATGTCAACAGCAACATCAGACGAGTAGTTAAACATTTGTTTTGGCGCCCCTTTAGGTGACAGAAACAAAGGAAACAAAGTCTATTCCAGCTGTACATATGTTTTGACTGAGCGAGACTTAGCTTCTTAAGTGATAAGTTATCTTTTTACGTTGGGTATACTGAAAGTTTCTGGACCTGGCCACTTACAATAAAATAATGAAAAAAACAATTATGGAATTCGAAAATGGAACTCTTTGGGAACATGTTACTTTTTAATTTGCGAGACTGTCATTTGTTCATTGCGACGTCCTTTCGAGAATTGTGTGTCGTTATCAAAATGAATTTAATTCGTGAACATTTTCGTTCAATGATTTTCGTTGTGGCTTAAGTCAACAAGAGAGCTGCCAGAGACTTCAATTGGCATTTGGTGATGAAGCACCATGTCGCAGCTCTGTGTAATTGTGTTTTGGAGAATTTAGACGTGGACGTGATCTGTATGACGAGGTACGTGAAGGTCGGCCGGAATATTGATACCGTACGACAACTTACTTGCCAGTTAATTCGAGTTTCGTTAGGCATCGGAATAAACGAAGTGCAAAACATTTCATATGTGCATCTGAATATTGGGAAGCTTTGCACTCGATGGATACCGTATGTCTTAACGGAGGACAAGAAACGACTGCGTGCCTAGTGTTGTCGTAACATTTTACGGCTGTCTGACTATCCAACTCAGACAGGAGGACGGTCATTGGTTCTCTATAATATCGTGACAGGTGACGAAACCTGGGTGTACTGCTTTGGACCTGAAAGGAAAAGTCAGTCGGCAGAGTGGGTCTTTTCTTTTGAAGATTTGCCGACGAAAGTTAAGAAAAGTCGAAGAATTGGTAATAAACGGTTTCTTCTTTTTTCGGGAAATCAGGACATTACACTACAGTATCACTTGAAGATCACAGGACAGTGGACAGACATCATAAGGTAAGAGAAGCCTATTTGAAGGCTTCAAATTTGGAACTGATGACGCATCTACCATACAGCCCGGACCTCGCACCTTGCGACTTCTTTTTGTTTCCAAAAATTAAAGACAAACTTAGAGGCACACGTTTTATAAGCCCTGAATCGGCGGTGAATACGTTCCATGAAGCCATTAAAGAGGCGCCTACTACCCTACTACCTGGTCCAACTGCTTTGTACAGTGGTTTCAGCGAGTCTTAAGGGAGCGAGGCGAGGCGAGGGAAAATAAATAGAGAGACATAAACGGGTCGAAGTTATCACCACTTGACTGTTGGGATTGATGTAATGAAATAAAATTTTAATACTTTCTTTGGAGCTAGGTGGCCCAGATTTTAAATATTTAAAATCTATTTTTTAGCACATAACATTTCATTTTAAAACCTCCTTTTTAAGGAGAGGCTTATGTCCAGCAGTGGACTGTTAAAGGCTGTTGATGATGATGATGATTTCATTTTAAATTGAAATCCGCCCCTTAATTAGAAGAAAAAGTTTTTGATAAAGTTAATTAACACATCACCTATTAAAATTTTATAACACATTAAGTAACGCGTAGCGTTCGTCAGAGTTGGGTATGAGCGCCAATGGCGCGTGTCCGGCGATCGGTTGCCTTCATTTCCATTCCTGATTTCCGGAACGCGGACCCAATAAAAACAAGATTTATGTGATCTCCCAGCGCCAACGGGCGCACCAAGAGCCCGGGCGGGCTATGGGCGAAGACGAGTCACGGGATCCAGATCTAATTAATTGGATGATTATATTGCAATTGAACGCCTGCAACTCAGGGGTCACAAGCGTGTTGCCGGCCTTTGAAAAAGGAGTAGCTCTTTTCTTGAAGGTTTAAAGGTCATATCGGTCCAGAAATACCGCAGACAATACCTTGTTCCAAAGATTGGTTGTGCGAGGCAAAAAGTGTTTTGAAAAGCGCACAGTGGCGGAGTGCCAATTATCCAAGTGATGGGCACTTTTCAATCATTGCTTTAGTGACAGTGTAAGGAAGCCGTCTTGTGGTTGGAATGAGAGCCTGTACTGTAGTGTCATGCATAAAAACAGCACATTTAGGTATAATTGTTATAATTACTTGTTACTACGAACATGTGATCACATCGTCCACGTGACACAGTATCATAAATGCTATAAGAACTTAACTATCATATCCTCTACTTTCCATAGACAGTGTTTAATTAGCTAGAGCCGTACCGAAATTGTTGAACCCAAAGTGATTATATAGTTATATTTAAAAGAGTTTGAAGGTACACTTTCATGCAGCAGCATCTTTTTAATTACAAAGTGCGTATAATGTCGGTATGAGATAGCTACACGGTAGTTAAAACTCATGTTGGAACATTGTACTTACTAGATCTAGAATTGCTTTATATACCAGCCTAGTACAAATATACTCTTAAAAGATCACGTTGAACTGGTAAGTTAAAACTGTTTTTGGATGTATAATTATAGCAGTTTAGATGTATAGAGCCACAAGGAGGGTACGGACGTAGCGGTCGCCCAGCGCCGCTCTAGGGCGCGGGGAACACAGTCTGGATTGCAAATACGGTGGCCTCGGAGGTCGCATCCCGGAATACATTGAGTTTTTATCGAAGCCGCCCGTCTGCACCGGATATTGGGAATGGAAATGGAATCCAAAATCATCTTGGAGTCGGTCAGCTTGAAAAGGTTCCAAGATGGCGGTAGTGAACTATTAGATATTGTAATAGTAGAGTAGATTTTCTTATTTCACTGTTAATAAATTATTATAATTATAATAAAAATAATATTACTAGCAACACTTAAATCAGTCAGAATTTCTTTTATCATTTTCAAAATAAACAGGTGTTTTATAGATTTTAATACCATCCAATCAAAACAAATTAAGCAACAATAAAATTGATGCTTTTTACATATAAAAAAACGTTTAAAATAAAGAAACCAAGTAATAGATACAGTATAGAAAGACATGACGTCTAAAGTTATGTCAAAATACAAGGAAATGTTTATCAGTTAAGAAATTCGACTGAATAATGATAACCAGATCTCCGCTCCGTCTTGCAATCAAGCATATTATTTCTGGTTGTTCTTGTCTCGCTCGGTGAATATTTGCACAGGCATATTTATTTATTTATTTATTTATTAATAAGTACTACCACATCATACATATTATACTTATAACTAGTTTTGACAATACGTGGCATTATACCTGATATGTATGACAATTAAGGTGTACATAGCATTTACTGTAATGTAGTAGTGTAAAAAGTAGTAAACTAATTACAATCAAACGAGAAAAAAAAAAACTAACTAAAGAAGAGTATACTTAATAATAATAATAAACTGTTTGAATTAATACTACTCTAAATCTATTTTATATCTTATTCACATTTGTTTGGGGTTAAGGTAGATGGACACAAAACATTTGTTATTTTAGTTTTAAATTCATTATACGATTGGCGAAAGATGTCAATGTCAGGATCACGAGTTTGGATACTATTATATTGGTTAAGGACTCTATTTATTGGTGAATGTTGGCCTAGATTAGTTCTTGAAAATTGTGTGTGGAATATTTTAGTTATTCTATGTCTGGGATAAGAGTGAGGAACCTTCACTGATATTTTTTCTAATAAATAATTGTACTGTATATTATTATTAATTAATTTATGAAGAAAACAAAGGTCAAAAATGCGTCTGCGATTAGAAAGAGTGGTCATGTTAAACTTGGATAGCCGTGTGTCATACGGGCTCCTATGAGAAAAACCACTGCAAGAGTAGGCAAGGTTTCTGGTAAAGGCTCTTTGAATGCTTTCAATTCTTTGGGAATGAACAGCGTACCATGGTGACCATGCAGTACTCGCAAATTCGAGAATGCTGCGGACAAGAGCATTGTACAGAAGTAATTTGGTATCTAGTTTTTTAAAATCTGAGCTATTTCTCCTCAAAAAACCAAGCATTTGTGCTGCCTTAGTTACAGTTTTGTCAATATGCGATGTAAAAGTCAGCCCTGTATCGATGATAACGCCCAAATCACGAATCTCATTGACCTCTGCTAAATAAACCCCGCCAACCTCATACTTAGTAACAAGTGGTTTTTTTTTTGCGGGTGTACTTGATGTGAAAGCATTTATTAACATTAAGCCTCATGCAGTTTACGTTGCACCAATCTAATATTGCATTAAGGTCATCTTGTATTAGTTGGGAATCACTGATTGATTTAACTGGATGGTAAATCTTAAGATCATCAGCAAATAGTGACATTTTGCAGTGCTTAATACTAGAACTTATATCATTTATAAAAATAAGGAAGAGAACTGGTCCTAAGTGGGAACCTTGAGGCACTCCAGAAACCGCATAATAGGCTCGTGATTCAAATCCGTTCACAACCACACTTTGTGGTCTATGTTGCAAATATGATTCGAACCAGTTTAACAATGCCCCCCCTATGCCATAGGCATGCAGTTTTTGTAAAAGAACTTTATGATTGACCTTATCGAAAGCACAGCTAAAGTCAGTATATATCGCATCTACTTGCGATCCAGCATCTACTTCTTGAGATATGTCTGAAATAAAGGTAACTAGATTTGTCAAAATTGAGCGACCGCTTCTAAATCCGTGCTGATGATCAGAAATACTAGTATTTATTAATGTTATAATTGAAGGATACAGAACAGATTCAAATAATTTTGAAAAACAAGAGAGTATGGATATTGGCCT